CCCCAAAACCCCAAAACCCCAAATAATGTGATTAATATGATTCGAGTAATTTTAGTAATATAAGGAAGATTTTCCAGAATTAAAATTATCAATTTTCTAGAAAAACAAAGTTTTGCAATCTTTAAAAATTCATGGCTTTCTACGGTGTTGGACTAGATGTGAAGGTTAGAGAGTTAAACCTTAACTTCAAACTCAATATTTAACAGAAGGGCGGAGTTGGCTTAAGAACTTTAAAGCGTATATTCCAGAGAATGGATTATAACGGCAATAAGAAACTAGATGCTAGTGAGTTTGAACAGGCATTAGCAGCCTTTGGGTATATCTCTTTTCATATTAAAGTTTCATTTGTTTAGACTGTTCCCAAAGAAAGTTGAGCTTTAGGCTTTAATGAAGTATTATGATATTGATGGGGATGGTAACATTTCATATGAAGAATTTATCAGAGGATTGAGAGATGAACTCACTTAAAGAAGGAAGAATATGGTCCAGAAGGCATTTAACATGCTTGATCGAGATAGTTCGGGCTAGCTGAACATTCAAGATCTATGTATGAATAAAACATTATCTTTAATGCTTTAGTGGCTGTTTATGATGTCTCAATGAATCCAGAATATATTGAGGGTAGAAAGACTAGGGATTAAATCTTGACAGATTTCCTTAACAATTTTGAAGGTGTGAAAGGAAATCGCGATGGAACAATCACAAAGGATGAATTCTTTGACTATTACACTGATTTATCGATGAGTGTTCCATCAGATGAGTATTTCGTAAGGATGATGGAGTCTACCTGGCAGTGTCCAGAAGTAGAAGATGCCTCATCAAAGGCTGTTCTTCAAATGCTACTCAAGGAAGTTAGACTTAGAATCCTAGAGTTAGCAAGAAACGACCCAAAACTCCTTAGAAAAGTATTCAATGACTTTGATCTCAATCAAAGCGGTCACTTGACTATCGATGAAGTAACTAACATGATAGCTAAGTTAAAGATATCAGTGGAAAGAAAAATGGTCTATCCTTTCTTTAAGATTATTGATAATGATAACTCTGGAGGAGTTGAGTTCGCTGAATTTGAGAGATATGTCATCTCAAACCCCTATTGAAAACTTCATATTCTCTAGAGCAATATCATTCTTTAGCATTTAGTTTAATTTAATTATTCATAGTTTATCAATAGCAATAAATTTTAACGACTGGGGTTTTGGGGTTTTGGGGAGATCGGAAGA